AGGTAAAAGATACTCGCACATTTAAATAACATTCATTACATTTGTAATCTTACTTTAATTAAAATGTATGATTGTACTTACTTTTGATCTTCCAGCAATACGTTTTCCACGATTTAATTGGATCCACGCATCCCATCTATGCCTATACACAGATAGCGTATTCCATTGGTTTAAAATAACTGTTTCTTCAGATTTAACTACTCCCAAACCAGATCCACAATCAAATCTGTAAAGAAAAATGTAATTTTTACTAATAATGTTACAATGACATTGTTATTAGTTTAAGTTTAAATTACCTAAATTCCAAAAAGCCATTGTGAAGCAGAATAGCCATAAAATCTCCTACTAAATCATCTCTTTCAGCAGCTAAAAACAAAATACCATCCCAGCTCTCTGGTCTGAATTCTAAACTTATCTGCACGTGTTTGTAAGCTCCTCGGAGTGGTGGAAATGCTAACCAACTACGTCCATTGAATCTTGGGTATCTAATTGGATTTGCTGTAGGGAAATATAAAAAATAAATATATTTTCACATCGTTGAAAAAAAAAACATGAATATATAATAATGAATAACAATTGTAATTCTTATAAAAATATTATACTAGACTGAGCATAGTATAAGCAAATATTATTATATTAATAATTGCTGAAATTAATTTAAATTAATTTAATCATAAAAAAATGTAATAAATAATTGATATTTGAGTTATAATAAAATATAAAGAATTTGTATTGATAAAAAATTTATAATAATTATGGTAGGTAGGGGCATATTTTTGAATCAGAATATATGTTACTGGGTACTTACTGGTTATACTTAAATTTTTAGTAATTTTCTATATTATGCAAAAAATAAAATAGATTCACTTATAAATCTGAACAAAGTATGAGTATGTTTATAATAATTTTTGAAGATATTGGTTAAATAATTATTGAAAAAATATATATATTATACCTTATTAATTTGTATATTGCATTATAACATACATAGAACATTTTATACAACTTATGTTTTTAATAATACTTGTATACGAAAAACGATTCTGAACGGAGATGATTTGTCAGTCTAGGATATATTATATTTARATATTGTCATATATTCTATTTTGAAACAAATATATTATTTTTCAATTAGGACGCATTTTGAATAAGGCATGGTTAATCAATTTTTCCAAAAATATTGCATGTAGTTATCATAATTCAAATACCTTATATTATCATAGATTATACATATACCTGATTTCATAAAAATTTAATACTCAAATGCTCAAAACATTTTTCCTATAATGACGCTTAAAATTTTCTCTATAGCTATTTGAAGCAAAACTTATGTGAAACTTAGTGTTGAATTTTTTAACTTTAGATATAAATACAAACAACGATATGAATTTTTAACTACAAAATAATTTGCAAATATTCATGGTTTTGACGAATTTTTGTCAATATTTGAACTTCAAATGCTAATAAAAGAAAATTGTGCATATGTATTCTTATAATTTTTTAATCACTATAAGAATAACTTATGAGAAAMTTTGTATTAAATTTTCAAGTATTTTGATTGGGCCAAAAAAATTTTATCGAYACTTCAAAAAAAAATTTTCAGAAAAATTGAAAATTTCAGTTGTCTATAAATACCTCAAAAAAAGTCAGAATATTTTGAAAATTAAATAATGTAAAGAAAATGCCAATCTAAATAACTGGTAAAAATTTCAAGTATCTACGACTTATACTTTTTGAATAATRACAAATGTTTAAAATCGTTTTAGGATAAATCGTTATCATTATGCTATTTCGTAAAAATTTGAAATTCTAACGCAATTAAAATTTTTCCTATAATGATGCATCGAATTTTCCCTATAGCTACTTATGATTTTTAAACTTCAAAATTACTTGCAAATTTTCGCGTTTTCGACAGATTTCTTAAAAATTTGAACTATAAACGCCTATAAAAAAAAAAATTGTGAATAACGATTTTTAATTTTTTTTTAGCTACAATAGAACAACTCATAAGGGACCTTGTATTAAATTTTCAATATTTTGGTCATCTTAAATTTTTTTACCGACACTTCAAAAAAAATTCTCATAAAAATCGAAAATTTCAGTGGTCTATCAATATCTCAAAAAAAGTCAAAATTTTTTGAAAATTAACCTATATATTGATAACACTAACATAAACATTTGGTAAAAATTTCAAGTATTTACAGTGATTAGTTTTTGAATTACAACCATATAAAAAAATCGATTTGGTCGAAAACTGGTTTTGCGTAAAAATTCCCGTTTTTCTCGATTTTTTAAAAAACTGTTGGAAAATGTTTACTTTTGACCTCTATACTGCACCAAGGATATTCACTTTTACATCGGAAACCAACCCCAAAGTTTGAAATTGAAGCATTATTTCGACTAGTTATGCTGTACACAGACACACACACACACAAAAAAACACACATCATTGTAAAATCAATTCATCACTTCGTTCAGAATCTAAAAGAAATATTTTCTATATCAGAGGAAGATATTAAAATTGTTGGTTTGGTCGATCAGGGAATTGACCTCTTTTAAATTTGGTTGAAAAWTGAATCAGCCGAAAAAAGAAGAGTACGATTTTGATTATAAATAACCATTGCCACTAGTGAATAGGATATTTTAAAATAAGTGATCAGAAAATTACTAAAATAGCTTTTAATTCAAAATTAAGTTAAAAGAATATTTAAAATGGTTATTAAAAACCTTTGGCTGTATTTAAATATGATTTTTTAACTACGGCTATTCACAAATTTCATTAGATGGTTACGATTAATATGTATATCGATGAGAATCTTAGACAGCCAACATTAATATTGATGTAAAACTAAAAATTTACCTCTAAACTGTGATTAAGTACATTGTATCTAAACAATCTTAGAAAATATCTGTTAATGAGAATGTAACTAATGTAATGTTATATATCTGTTCGGGCCAAGAATGAATAATAAAAAGGCCGTGACGCCCGGTCGCCTAATGCTTCRTTCGCTTTATATACTCACATACCGACCGACCTGTGTAAAAGTGTGTATGTGACTCTAAGGACGGGATCGCCGATCAAGATCAGAGAGTGCTAGTGTATGGTGGATGTGTGAGTGTGTATTTGTGTGGTGTGTAGACTTAAACTAAAAAAAAAGGTAACATGGTTGCTAGTAAAAATGAGTTGCTCTATATTGTACACAAAATAAATAATTATTCACGGATACAAAAAAAAAAATATAAATCACAGCAACATCAAGTATAAAAAATATGGATAATAATATGATGGCCCTCCTGGCCMAACAAAATGATTGTATGTAACAAGATATAATAATAATAGTGCAACAGCTCTMAGATATGACGGTGCTCGGCTGGCCAGCTGCTACCTATCCTATATTGATAATAATTATAATAACACACAATACACACACTGTATTGAAATAATAATAATAAAATAATATACACTGGCGATTCGCGCCTAACAATAAATAGTAATAAAAAGGATGGCGATTATCGCCGCACAATATAAGTGTCGATTCGTGACTTACAAATAAATATATAATATTTTTGAGCACGCCGGTGCTGCTTAGGCAATTTTTGATACAATACTATATCACGGCGGCCGTGTTAATATAGTCGGCATAAGCGAGCCGGCGGCGGTCGATAACGCGTTAACTTAATCTACATATTATATAATAATTCACAACGACGAAATAATTATTTAAAAAAAAAACAATATAAAAATAACGAAGATGTGTTGTGCTTATGTGTGTGTGTATCAGTCGGCGACGACATACAGCGCATAGTGGCTATGCCATTTATGTATGTAAATTATAAATAATAATAATWATTATTATTATTATTATGCCACGGCGGTGAAAATATCCAGGATATTATACATGATACATGCCTATTGTGTACCTGTGCTGTATAAATATTATAAATTATAGGTATTGATTACTAAATGTATAAGTTTAACGTATAATGTAATACAAATGCATATTTTTTGAGTTATAAATGATGGTATTTTTTCGCCAAAATAGTTATTGTTATCAATATCTACTTAAAATATGTTGAAGGGAAATCGATTTCTATTTTTTTCTTTATACGTAAAAAGCCACGCTGTTGTTATCGGTTCATGAATAACCATATAGAGTGCCCACCCATCTACATTATACCTATAATAATATGTACAGTATAGTGTATAGGTAGTACACATATAAAATATCAGTAAACCCTAATGGGTTTATTTTCGCAAAGCGCCTTTGTCCGGTCACCGGGGTGGTCGACACATACATCCGGGCGAATTATTGGGTGCGGTCACGCAACAATCCAGTACAAGACGGTCACGCAAACCCCGAGCAAGCCAAAAATATATTTGACACGCATCCAAAACGTTACCTGCAGTTGTTATTAGCATACAGTGCACACCCCCATAGGAATGTACCTATGACCGAATATACCGAAACCGCAATATGATGTATAGGCACCTATAAACAGTGCTTATATGTAGGTAAACACTCACGTATCACGTAAAACTGTTTATATGCGGTTAGTTATTGATGATTTATATTKCTATATGTTTCTAATTGCATATAAATTTAAAACATAGGAACAGTATCGTTATGTGTGTAGGCGTGTATTATTCCGTGTAAACAAAATAAGTGCTATGAAATAATATAGTGACGATAAGAAAATATTTAAAGAGTTACAGGTTTATGTACAGCGGGCATTACCTAATAATTTATTGTAAAACTGTATAAAAAATTAAATAATGAAAAATTGTATTTACTCAGTAAATTGTACCAAAGTATACTGCAAAAACTATATAGTTATTACATAAAATAATATTATACATAAGTAATAATTAGAGATAACTAACTTTTGTTTTGATTTTAAATTATTTATTAGTTACATATTATATTAGTTTATTTGTTAGAATTATTAATATTTACAATATTTTTTGATAAAATCTGTACCTRCACCAAAATCACCATTAATAATATCGGAAATTATTTATTATTATTATGTGCATTTTGTATGAATTAAAATATAATCTTGAGATTTGTATAACGTAGTTTGATCAATGCATATGGCAGAATACAAATTACAAAGCTTTAAATGTAATATCATATTAACGCGTAAGACAACCCGTTGTTTTTATGACATCTATATATCATATCATATTATATCAAATACAAGCCTCTGGTACATCACGTCTTTGTTATATTTCATCAATCTCAATAATGTTGTAAGTTAAACTGACTACCTAAATCGTGTGATTATCGCATATTTTCCATATAATTTAGTACAACGTTAAGGAAAAGTAAACGATTTTTTAAACTTGTCAGAGACATAGAGCTATTATGGGGAATACAACTTTTATTAATGATAATTTATTTATAATAAAAATTAATAAATTCTATATTTTAAGTATTTACTATTGGTATATTATAATCAATGAAATAGTTTTAAAAAGAGTTGAACTCTTTAGTAAT